GAAAAAAATTAATAGGCTAACTAAAAATATATAGAAAAAATTAGCCAGGCATTGTGGCACATGCCTGTAGTCCCAGCTGCTCGGGAGGCTGAGGCAGTAGGATCACTTGAACCCAGGAGTTTGAGGTTGCTGTGAGGTAGGCTGATGCCACGGCACTCTAGCCTGGGCAACAGACTGAGACTCTGTCTAAAAAAAAAAAAGAGCAATAAGGAAGAAGAAAAAATAGACAAAAGAGAAAGCAGACAAGAACAAGCAAAGTACAACCAGTTGGTATTATTTATGTAGAGACAACCGGCCCTACAGACTTCAGTTGCTTGTAAGGGCATTATCCTATCACAGGGCAAGCATTCCTTTACATACCTGAGTAATATGTTTTCAAAAAAAGCATGAGCAACCTAAAAATACATACATCAGCTACTCTAGAAGGCTTTCAGTCTTATAAAACTAAATATACTCTTACCATATGATCCAACAAAGGCACTCAAAGTATGTTGAAAATGTACATCCATACAAAAACCAGCACACAAATAAAGATGTATAACAGCTTTATTCATAATTGTTAAATCTGAGAAGCAACCAAGATGTCCTTTAGCAGGTGAATGGATAAACTGTGGTACATCCATACAATGGAATATTATTCAGCATTAAAAAGAAATGAGCTATCAAGCTATGAAAAAACATGGAGAAAACTTAAATGTATATTACCCAAGTGAAAGAAGCCAATATGAAAAAGCTACATATGTATGATTCCAACCATATGACATTCTAGAAAAACTATCGAGATAGTAAAAAGATCAGTGGTTGCCAGGGGTTAGGGAGAAGGGAGGAAAAGAGGAAGCACAGGAGACTTTTAGGGCAGTGAAACCATTCTGTATGATACTGCAATAGAGGATACATCATTACACATTTGTCAAAACCCATAGACTGTACAACACAAATAGTTAATGCTAATATAAACTATGGACTCTAATTGATAATGGTTCACCAACTGTAACAAATTTACCACACTGAAGCAACATGTTAATGAAGGAAGCTGGGCATGGGGGAGTATACGATAACTCTCCATACTTTCCATCCAATTTTTCTATAAACTTAAAACCTCTCTAAAAATAATGTATACTAATTTTAAAAATACATATGTAAAAAATTAATGATCCTATAAGAAATCATGGTAAAGACGGGGTAAAGAGATTTTCAGGCACAGTTAGGAACTCCTCTAATCTAAGTCAACATAGCCTATAATTATATAATGCTGAATACTTGCATAGTATCATAGTTTATATAAATATAAAATATATAGCTATATTTTAGTTTACATATAAATATATTCATTCTAAAATACAGTTTATATGTAATATAGTCATCATTTAGAGGTAATAATTGTACGGTTATATAGTACTGAATACATTTGAACATAAAAGATGAGTGGTGTTGGGAAAAGACAGAAATCAGGAGGGTGGATCAGCTTCATCCAATGAAGAGACTGTGTTGCGTGGAGCTTTCCACTACTGCCAATGGTGAGAGAAATGCCTTAGAGTCAGGCTACGGCCCGCTGGCCACATGCGGGTGTTTTTACCCATTTGTTTTTTTACTTCAAAATAAGATATGTGCAGTGTGCATAGGAATTTGTTCATAGTTTTTTTTAAACTATAGTCCATCCCTCCAGCAGTCTGAGGGACAGTGAACTGGCCCCCTGTTTAAAAAGTTTGAGGACCCCTGCCTTAGACTGTATCTTCTTCACTTTAAACAATGGTTTGGTGGAGCTCTTGTTTGCCAGCAGTAGACTATGGTGGCACTTGTCTCAAATTGTTTATCATGCTCTTCCTGCTCCCTCCCTGCAGTGGCATGCTAATAAAGCTCTAACTAAAAAATGCATAAGAGTTCAAAGGCACTTAGGACAAAAGAAGTCCAATACAGTTCAGTAATCACTATTTTCCACAGTGACAAACTGAGTTGCTAAGATAAAACTATAAGCAGTACATAGTATTCTGGATAATCAGCATAGAAATAACTCATTGTAGATGGTTAAAACTAAAATAGTACTTAATGTTTAAAGAGATAAGCATCATCTATCTAGTAAATCTGTTTACTAGAAAAATCTCTCATATAAATTTAAAAACACACTAAATATGACCTAACTCTTCCCAGATGCCACTTATGCAGTGTTTCCATACTACAAAATATGCCGTTAATGTTTGGCATAGGCAGTAAATTTACCAGGTATATCTGATATGTAATGCTCATTTTTCTTTCCTTTTTCAACTACCATGTTTCCCCGAAAATAAGATAAGGTCTTATACTCATTTTCCTCAAGAAGACACCCCAGGGCTTATTTTCAGGGGATGTGTTATTTTTTTAAGTACAGTACAACAATCTACACTTATTCAAATATAGTTACGCTGTCTTCTTCTGGAACATCATCGTAACTCTCCAAACCCCGAATTCCATCTTGAATTTCTTGCGACTCTATTTCCTTTAGAACCATTGGCCTCCATCTCTCATGTTGAGTAGTAGAGCTCTCATGGGGCAGATGAGAAGGGCTGCTCATCTTCTTTACCACTCTGCCACGAAATGCATGGGTTGTGCAAATACGCTGCATAGCCACGCCCATCACTATACCTTATTTTGGGGGTAGGGCTTATATGTCGCAAATGCTTAGAAATCCTGTTAGGGCTTATTTTATGGGTAGGTCTTATTTTCGGGGAAACACGGTTAAGAATCAACTAAAATGAGATTATAGCCTTTATGTAGCTGTTTTGCAATTTTATGTAGTCCATAAAACTGAGTCCCTTTTATATTAATAGTAAAGGACACCAAAAAATACATACACATAAGTAAGAAGAGAGAAAGCAAAGGAAAAAAACAAAATATAAAATATTAACTGTGTTTCTACTTATCTCATTCTTAAAAAAAAAGAAAAAAAAATATTAACTGTGGCATCTCTGGAGGGCTGTTACAAATTTTTATAGTCTTAAAACTTTATTTTTTAAATACCCTACCAAAACGATATACTGATTTCACAGTTGATTATAGCAAATATTCTACAGCATTTAAAATGAGTAAACTATAACTGCATATATCCATAAAGTTTAACCTCTTATACAAAGTTTAAAAACCTACAAAACAATATTTTCTTTCCTATGGACACATACACATATAGGGAAGGCTGTAAAAATCCAGAGTAATAAATAAATACCAAATTCAGAATAATGGTCACAGCAAGAAGAGAGGGGACTAGCATAAGGAAGTGGTACCCAGAAGGCTTCAACAATTATACCTGTGATATTTTATTACTTATGCTGGGTAGTAGGTATGTGGTATTTATTACATTGTTCTATACCCTTTTTTATACCAGAAGTATTTCAAAAATTTTAAAAAGTAGCAACAATTGGAGTCATACCAAAAATAGTAGGAATTAACCCTTACAATACTTAAATGAGATACAGTAATGGAGGAATCAAAGATAAACATATCTTTTATAATGAGAAAATTCTTTGGAAAATTTAAAGCAGGAGTTCTGAAGGTGGGCAGTCATGTACATATTTATAATCCAATAGCAATCTGAATCTGTATTTCACAAAATATCTGTAGCAAACATCCCAATGTGTGCCTTACACAGATTGAGCTCAAAATTAAATCTGTTCAGTAAATGTAATACATACATTATTTTGAATATGCTCTTATTTTACATCTTCAGTTACAACTCTATTTGATAGCAGATTTTTTACTTTGGTCAGTTTTAAATGGTACTTAGTCTTTTAAGGATGTCATAAAAATAAGCTTAATTTCTGACTGGTATTTTCTAGCTTGATGATTTAAAATGGTTCCTAACCATTTCTGGTTATCAGTTGGATTTAGTTTATCATCTTATGACATGCTATGGAGCAAATAGGTAGAGAAAGTCCAAGGAAACACTGAATAATAGGCTTCTCCCGAAAAATCAAGTTCCTGAGGAAGATTCAAAATCATTCAAGGATGTTCCTTAGTATCCTGCTACAGTCTCATTCAACTTTATGAAAAACAATTAAGCAAATTAATACAAGAAAGCTCATGAAAATGCCCCACGTAAAGGCAGAACAAATACTGTATCAACTTCATCAAGTTATAATATTTTGTGTGATATAAAATATTTTGCTCAAAACAAAATATGAGTGTTTAATTTATTAATCCTCAGCATTTGATATTGATTTTAAATCAATTTAGGACAAAAAGGAGGTTAAATTTCAAAATTCCTACAAAATAATGTTTTAACATAAAATAGCTTAAAGTTATTCCAAGTATCTGAAATGATCAATCTCTTCATTAATTTACTTCCTTTAAATGACTAGAAAACTAATATTCTTTAATGCAAAGCCCTCAATTTTATACTTTAATTTCTATGAGGATGAAATATGACAATTTACCCAGTGCAGTCAGACCTTTTCAGGAAGCAGCCTCTTCAAGTCCAAAGAATATCAAAATTTATAGAAAGCAAAGGTTTCCTCGGACTGACTCCCCCAAAACCAAAATAAAACAAGAAGCCAAATATATTGTTTAGAAATCAGAAGAAGAACAACAAAATATATTTCTTTCTTTCTTTCTTTTTTTTGGCCAAACACGGGTGTCTGATATATTTCTTAATTTACTATGGAAAATGAGAATGATTTGTTTTTAACATTCACCTTCATTAATCCCTTTGCAAAGACTTTACTAGAAGCAGAGAAAGACCTATTGAAATTTAAATTACATATTTGCTTTTCAGATGGGATCCATCCTACTTGAGGATCCTCTCTCTTAGACCACTACAATTTAAAGGCCCCCAAAATAGAGGACTCATCAAAAGAAGTCTAGCAAGGCTCAAATTGTTAGCTCTGCAGGTACTATCACCTTACATTTAATTCTTTTATTTCATCATTTGCATTTACCAAGTGTATACCATCTACGTTCTATTTGTTTACCCTATTCTCACAAATGTCTGGGAAAAGCTGCCTAATGAAGACTGCCCACATAATTTTACTCACCAAGTTTTGTCCTGTTTAAATGTCAGCATATCACATTCAATAAACAAATATTCTTTGAGCACCTTTTCTGTGTAAAGTTCTGGACCAGGAACTGAAAGGGGACATTAGAATGATTAGTTAAACCCTCAAACAGCTTAACAGCAGTACTTCTCAAAATGAACCATGGAACCTCAGGAGGGTCCCTGAGATTCTTTTCAAGGAATCAATGAGGTCATTTGTTACCATTTCATAATAACAAAGATACTATTTGCCTTTTTTCAGTGTTTTTATGTTTACACTCAGGATGCAACAGCAATGGTGGTGTAAAACTACTGATACTTAGCACAACTTAAGGTAATGGCACAAAACTGTACTAGTAGTTATTACATTCTTCACCTTGATATACTCACAGTAAAGGTGGGGGCAATTTTATTTAAGAATATGCTTGATGATGGAGTAAAAAATATTAATTTTATTAAATCTTTGCTTTGAGTTAATGTCTTTTTACTATTCTGAGTAACGAACAGAAAGTATGCATAAGGCACTTCAGTTGCATTTGGAAGGGTAATGGCTATCTTGACAAACACGTATCCCATGCTTTGTGCTGCAAGTTGAACTGGCTGCTTTTTTTCACAATACCATTTTTACTTGAAAAAGTAACTGATAAACTATATGGTTATTCAAATCTGGATAGTTGAGAGCCATTTGCTCAAAAATTAAAAGTGAGCCTATCACTTCAAGGAAAACAACAGATGATATTTGTTGCCAATGATGAAATTTGATGTTTCAAATGATAATTAGAATTTTAGAAGACTTGTATCTGCCACAGTGAGCTTGATAGTTTAATTACTTAAAAGTCTTTTCTGATCAGATCAGTGGTGATGTTAAGGAATGTGATTTTTGTGTCAGGATTTGGAAGATCTGCATAACTGGGTGAATTATATAGTTAAAAAGATCCAGTTAAAGTACATGATAAACCGGCCGGGCGCGGTGGCTCACGCCTGTAATCCTAGCTCTTGGGAGGCCGAGGCAGGCGGATTGCTCAAGGTCAGGAGTTCGAAACCAGCCTGAGCAAGAGCGAGACCCCGTCTCTACTATAAATAGAAAGAAATTAATTGGCCAACTGATATGTATATAAAAAATTAGCCGGGCATGGTGGCTCATGCCTGTAGTCCCAGCTACTCGGGAGGCTGAGGCAGAAGGATCGCTCGAGCCCAGGAGTTTGAGGTTGCTGTGAGCTAGGCTGACGCCACGGCACTCACTCTAGCCTGGACAAAAAAGTGAGACTCTGTCTCAAAAAAAAAAAAAAAAAAAAAGTACATGATAAACCAATAGATGTTAACATAACAGAGTACAATTATGGCTTCAGATAATACACTAAAATTCACCTGTAAGAAACTACCACAGCCAAGTTTTAGTATAACATCAAAGAACATCCACAATTATGTGAAAAGGCTCTTAAAATACTCTTCCCACTTCCAACTACATATTTGGTATGAGACCAGATCTTCTTTAACCAAAGCAATAAATACACTGCAGCAGACTGAGGCAAAAGCAAATGTGAGAATCCAGCTGTCTTCTCTTAAACCAGCCATTAAAGAGATTTGCAAACACCAAAAAATACCACTCTTCTTACTAAATTGTCTTTTGTTTTGGAAAATATATATATATATATTTTTTTTTTTTTTTGAGACAGAGTCTCGCTTGTTGCCTAGGCTAGAGTGAGTGCCGTGACGTCAGCCTAGCTCACAGCAACCTCAATCTCCTGGGCTCAAGCAATCCTTCTGCCTCAGCCTCCCAAGAAGCTGGGACTACAGGCATGCACCACCATGCCCGGCTAATTTTATATATATATATATAGGCCAATTAATTTCTTTCTATTTATAGTAGAGACGGGGTCTCGCTCTTGCTCAGGCTGGTTTCGAACTCCTGACCTTGAGCAATCCGCCCGCCTCGGCCTCCCAGAGAGCTAGGATTACAGGCATGAGCCACCGCGCCCGGCCGGAAAATATAATTATTTTTCATAAAAATACATCTTTTTAACAGGTAGTGGGTTTACTATGATTATTTTAAATTAATAAACATTATAAAATTTTCTGTTTTAGTTTTTGATATAGAAAATATTAAAAGTTATAACACACATAAACAAAAGCTCTTTGTAGTTCCCAGTAATTTTTAAGACAGTAAAAGGGTCTCAAAGACCAAAGATTAAAAACCACTGGTTTATCATATAAGAGAGGAAAAACCCACAAATATTAACCCAAGGTAGAATGTGATGATTCTCATAGCCTTTCCATTCCTGGCATTCCAGCTCTTCCTAAGCGAAACCTGTGCTCCTCCTGACCAGGCTCTTGAAATAATTTATTTAGTGCTTCTGTCAATATAATCAAAATGAGTACGTTATTTAGCAAGCATGAAAAGGGCCCAAGTTAATGTGTTAAGCAAATTTCAATTGATGAGTTTTTTTCTTTACTGGTTTTGTAAATAAATGACCTAAATTAAACTTGGTTTTTATTTCCTTGTTATAAACTGGGTGAGGCCAGGCGTGGTGGCTCACGCCTGTAATCCAAGCACTCTGGGAGGCTGAGGCGCGTGGATCGTTTGAGCTCAGGATTTCGAGACCAGCCTAAGCAAGAGCGAGACCCTACAAAAAAAATAAATAAATAAATAAATAGAAAGAAAAATTAGCTGGACAACTAAAAAATATTTAGAAAAAATTAGCCGGGCATGGTGGCGCATGCCTGTGGTCCCAGCTACTTGGGAGACTGAGGCAGAAGGATCGCTTGAGCCCAGGAATTTGAGGTTGCTGTGAGCTAGATGACATGGCACTATAGCCTGGAACAAAATTAGACCCTGTCTCAAAAAAAAAAAAAAAAAAAAAACCGAGTGAGACTATAAAGACAAAGGATTGAATGATTGATTGACAGGGTCTCTCACTGCTACCCGGGTGGGCTACAGTGCAGTGGCATCATCTTAACTCACAGCAACCTCAAACTCCTGGGCTCAAGCAGTCCTCCTGCCTCAGCCTCTTGAGTAGCTGGGACTACAGGTGTGCACCACTATGCCAAGATAATTTTTCTACTTTTTTGTAGAGACGGGGTCTCACTCTTGTTCAGGCTTGTCTCGAACTCCTAGGCCTCAAGTGATCCTCCCGCCTCAGCCTCCCAAAGTGCTAGGATTACAGGCATGAGCCACCACACCTGGCCAGGACTATATAATAGTCAACTCTCTTGGCAATGCATCCCACACAATCAGATTAATAATGGAAAGCTATGGAATTTGGTTCCCTATCTCTCAACACTAGGGCAATGCATTCATAAAGTATCTAACCTTTTGTGGAAAAACAAAAAGAATAGAAGTATAATAAATTTAATTAAAAAAAAACACTAGGGCAAAAAACTTGAAATCCTACATTGGTCTTGAGGATTAAGATATAAAATATGTTATTTCTTTATAAAAGCACTTTCTAAAGGACTGTATGTTACCATTTGTGTTTTTTTAAAAAGCAAGGACATATATACACATTTTTGCTTAGCCTACCTGGAAGAATACGTAAGAAACTGGTAGTGGCGATTATTTCCATTAAGGGAAATTGTGGAAGAGAAACTCACTTTTCACTGTATTCCTTTTTATGTTATTTGACCTCTTACCCATGTGCACATAATATTCAAAACAAGATGTTTGTAAAATACCATTTCACCTATTTCTCTAGTCTTTTATCTTGAATGCAAATTAAAAAAAAATACTAGATGTGAAAAATCATTAGATGATGCATATTTGTTACATTAGCAATGGATACACATCTCGCATCTGACAAAAAGCATCAAAAGTAAGCCGTCCATCAACCTGGAAGTGATCACCATTGATTACCTGAAGGAGTACCTGATTACAGAAGAATCTAAATACCGTCCATCTGCCCAACATAATTAATATAGTTGCTCCTTCAATGATATTAATAACGCTCCCTTTTTATATTAATCACAGCATTTGTTTTAAGAAATATTCTCTGAATAGCACTAAAGTAGGTAAGTTTAAATACTCCTTTAAATCACACAGCAACATTAAATTTAGCATTGACTGACTTCCTACCATGCACTGGGCACTACCACTTGATAATGTAACACTTGTAACACACAATGTAACATGACAGCATGCACTTAGATCTAAACACCTAACCACGTAATATAGGTTTAACCACCAATGAAAAAGATTTGGGCGTTTTAAATAATTCTAACATTAATGAGCCAACCTTATGATGTGGCTACAGATAAACCTGATAAACCAGATAAACCATCAAATTCAAATTTGCGCTATATCGTAGTTGGTTAAATGGTGTCCAGAACACAGAAAAATCAGAGCCACTGTGGTCTGTATTTATCAGACCAATCCTACAACTCATGCTGGTTTCTAGGCCACACATGCTACCCAGGGACCATGACGAAGTGCAGTAGGGTCAGGGTAGTTTTGTATGTGGAAGGCAACATGTAATGAGTTAGCTACCACATGCCAAGCACTTCATATGAATTTTCCTTATAGCTTCAAAATCAGGGATAAAGACATTATTATCCCTGTCTAAAATTAAGGAGATTCAGACTCAGGTTAAGTTATATGCTCAAGATTGCAAAGCTACTAAGTGGCATTATCAGCATTTAAGCCTAGAGCCCCTAAAGTGGGTTGAATGATGGCTCCCAAAAAGATAGGTCCATGCCCTAATCACTGGAATCTGTGAATGTTATCTTACTTGAAAAAAGGGTCTTTGCAGATGTAACTAAATTAAGGATCTTGATATGAGATCATCCTGCATTTTCTAGGTGGGTTTTCATTCCAGTGGCAAGCATCCTTCTAAGCATGAAACACATAGAGACGGCACAGACAGCAGAGGAGACAATGTGACCGTGGAGGCAGAAAGTAGAATGATATAAAGACAAGTCAAGGAATGCCACCAAAAGCTGGAAGAGGCAAAGAACAGAATCTTCCCTAGCTCCTACCAAGAAAGAACACAGCCCTGTGGACATCTTGCTTCTGGACTTCTGGCCTCTAGAACTATGAGAGAATAAATTGCTATTGTTTTAAACCACTATGTTTGTGCTTCTTTGGTATAGCAGCCCTAGGAAACTAATACAGTCCCCAAACTCTATCTTTCCAGCATACCCTCTTACCTTCCCAAGAGGCTCATGAAGGATCTAGGGATAATTAAACTACATTAGAGACAACTCCGAGACTACAAAGAAAACAGAAACCATACTCGTTTTTGGAAGCCCTAGACAACAGAAGATCAGTAGGTAAAAGTTCCAGGAAGAAATTTCAGTTGAAATTAAACTTTCTAACCATCTAAATGTCTTAAACACTAACCAGAGTTTTGATAGGTAGTTAAGTTTCCTATCATTGCATGTGTTCAAGAAGAGACTTTTGATTTAAACTTTGGGGAGAGAGCTGGTTTAGATCATTTAGAATCTCTTCCCATTGAGTTCCCAAAATTATAAAATGTTAGATGGCACTACAAAAGCATACTTAAGGTAAAATATTACAAATGAGTTTTACAAGATCTCTATAATCATTCAAATAAATGCTGACCACTTGTAATGTGTCAGGCACTGTGCTTGGTAATGAAAACACAGTATCTACTCTCATGAAGCTTACAACCTGGTGGGAAACAAATATCAAGTAATATGTAAACAAATGTAAAATTACATTTATGGACACATATGGTGAAGGAAAAGCACAAAAATGAGGGAAATTAGGCAAAATTTCCCTGAGGAAATGATGCTTGACCAGAGACCTGATGGACTCAGAGTTCCCCCTTGGTATCCATGGGAGATTATCGAGGACCCCCCCTCAGATATCAAATGAGAATTAGCTACTTCTCTCACACCTTTCAGATATACAAGTTTTTTTCTTTCTTTCTTCTTCTTTCTTTCTTTCTTTCTTTCTTTCTTTCTTTCTTTCTTTCTTTCTTTCTTTCTTTCTTTTTAAAGCTAA